CCCCAAAACCCCAAAACCCCAAAACCCCGAGTTCCATCAGATCAGATAAAAAAGTTACAATGTGGTGAAGGTTTAAAAATTAATAGGATTTGACATAATTTTTCAATTAAATGTAATTGAAGTTAGAAGTCATATATACTAAATAAATTAACTATATTCCAAGATTGAATCAGGCATTTATTTAACTACCAACATTTACATTTAATGGCTGCTCTTAAGCTTAAGCATTGGTCTCTTCTAAGAGATCCTCTTCTTCTTCTTGTTCCATATATATACCTTTTCCATGATTCTTCAAAAAATGTTTCATAAGCAGCTATCGCGGAAAGATCTGTTTGCATTCCGAACATCTGAGTTTTATAAATTAATGAGTCCTAAAATGCTTATCTAAGTTGCTCTTTTGAGTAAATCCTTTCGCACAAAAATTCACAGGACACACAAAAGGTCTCTCTCTGCAGTGTATGCGCAAATGGTCAAAAATGTTTCCCCATTTTTTCAACACAATATCGCAGTGATCGTAAGTACAAATAAACATGGATTTCCAGCGTTTCGATTTTTCCTGAAAAATTTTCACAAATTTGAAAGTTTTTAGCGAAGGAATATTCTAAGCAGGTGGTATTTACTCTGGCTCTAAGTCCTCGCCATGGAAAAAAATTATTTTTTCTTGATCAGTTAGGTTCAATTTTTTTCTAATTTCAGTCTCTTCTATTAACTTGCTCTCATCATTTTTCATGGCCTTTTCAAAGGTTTGCTTATCTTGATCAAATATTTATGTTTGGATATGAACATCTATATCAAGTTTAAGATTTCTTATTTGGATTCTTACCTTTTTTCAAATGAAGTTGTGTGCTTTCATTATTAGATATGCATTAGCATTTACATTGACATTTATTAGGCTTTTAATTGGTCTGATCATCCATCTAAGTTGTCTATTCCATACTTTCATATTAAGTTGAAGAATCAATATAGGAATATGTTTATACAGCGCTTGTGGTAGTGTGCACTTTATTAATTGTAGCACTTGACTTGATGGAGTATGTGTTACAAATTCTTATTCCAGCAACTGGAAGCTGATTATTATTTTGCAATAATTATTACTATTCCTAAGGCTATGACATTATTATGACATTTTGCATGCCTTGAGCTTATTGAGAATTTTGAAATTAGCTGTATTAGTATGGAATGTATTGCTATTGATTATAGCTTTAATAAAGCTAATTTGGATTCTGATAGTTATATTATTACATTCAAAATGAGATTGTTCCTAATTAAGAGTTGATAGATAAATATTTTTTATCCGAGTTTATTATAATTACGTATAAATTTGCAACTAAATTCTAAGGTCTCACCACTTATACGAGATTTTATTCTATTCTCAACTCACGGGGTTTTGGGGTTTTGGGGTTTTGGGG